ATGGTGCATATTTGATCATATAATGGACCATTATGTTTATAGCTTTCTTACTGTTTGTTCTGTAATATAAAACAAAAAACATTTAATAAATCACGCATGCGCTTAAAAAAGTTGGGAAATGAGCGCGGGACACATATGTCCCGCGCTGTCCCACGTGGCCTGCAAAACGCGGGACATATGTGTCCCGCGTTGTCGTGAACGTGTTAAAGATTGGCATCCTTCAACTGGAGCACGGTCTTTTATGGGTGCATATAAGGGGCGTCGAAGAGGTCGCACATAAGTCGCAACGCTATGTTTGCTCGGATGATGAGTACTCGGATTGGTACTCCGTTGATTTTGATACGTTTCTGTTGTACTATCTATGGGAAACCTTTTACAAGTCAGGACGGAAATCGCTTTTTGTCCCTCTTACTTTTTGATTTTCAACAGCGATGTAGTGGAAGGCTGACTCACTTGATACCACCGATACTGAGCGTTAAGAGTGAGGTGGAAACCTTCAGAGCAGTTGAAGATGATCAATTGTGTCTGAGTGTAAGATGATACGGGAAAAATAAGAAAAATTCAGTAAGCTGATGAAAAGACAATAATGAAACCATCCTCACCACTCCTTGATTTATTAAATATTCTCCGACGTAGACCAATGCAAGCGGAATCATCAAATGAAGGAGAGGCTGAAATGGCAATATCAAGAGGCTGGGTAGCCAACTGGAAGGCAATTGATTAGTGGTCATATTTAAGTGCAAACTATACTACATCCTGGAATTATTGGCCATGAGCTTATAATGTTATTCGATAGCCTGAGCACTAAATACACTATTTTGACTCGATACAAGCCCTTCATTACCGGTGTATCGTCTGCTGTCGCAGTGCTTAGTTCGACGAAAATATTTCGGCAAGTGATACCGCTAAAAGAACAGCACTACTTCAACGAAGTGAGCTTATCTATAGGAATCGCCCAGCTATTGCAAGTTCTCTGTCTGCGTTTGAAAAAGTAGAAATCACAAACCAGAATGTACACAATTTTTTCTTTGAANCTTGAGGGTTCAGTGACACTTGATTTGCTGCTGTTTTCTTCTCCAATATTGAAATTCCTCAATTCTTCTTTAACCTAAACGAATCATGTAGATGAGCGATGCTCTCTTTGATATCATCTTCAATGTATTGGGGTGGTCAATAAAAGGGGAGAGATTATAGGAGTTGATTAAACCACCTCCAAAGTAGTTTGGCGAGGCACAATCCAAGTTTTCGGATGCAGTCCAGGTGTATAAACATCATCAGGGGTAACAAGTATGAAGAAATATCTGGAACGTTGTGTAATGAAAAGCCGCACATAGCCTGTTTATGCAAATCCTTCCAAGAAAGCGTACAAGACCAAAAACCCACGCGAGCGCAAACACCACCGGTATGAAAAGTTGGATCAGAAGAGCGTCCTTGGGTTGCAAATTTCCCATCGTTCGTTCGGTAAGGAAGGCGTACGAAAATGAGCCTATCAGACCAGCTCCACCAGTGCCAGATGACCAAGCTGCTATGGCCAATCTGTAATCAGAAATGAGATCCTACTTGGATTTATTTATCGGTGATCCACTTCAGGCGATGCTTTTTTCTAATCTGTAGCAGGAACCCAAATGACCTACAATATTAAGTGCGAGTGCTCCATTTTTAAGCCAAATTAGAAAACGACGTAGATTGATTCGAAACCCGTGAAACAGTTTCCTACTTCTCCAATATTGATTTTCAGTCTTCAAAATATCCATCATTATGAACCACGATGCAAGCCCAACGCCATACTAGACTTTCAATTCTAGACAGCCAGATTTCTAGCGACTGCACGAGGAAACGGCATAATCCTGATTTCCAGATTGCTCTGATCAGCGAGTTTGTTTTCAGTAAATGCGTCTTTAATTCGGAGACAACAGGGCCAACTACGGAGAATAAGCATGATTGGGAATAATCTCAGCAATCTTCTGGCGGGTAACCTTCGTCATGTGTCATGAACGTCATGAATTAGATTAACAAGATCAACCAGCACTTAGGCAAGATAATGGCATCTGCCAATTTTGTAGTTGAGAGGAATAGGCTTGATCCGTCACGTTGTGCTTGACGAGACATTAAATTCTAATGGACGGTTCTCTCGGAAACTTCATCAACAAAGTAGCGAAACCGTCCTCTCGTGCAGATCTTCTACATGCCCTTTTGCAGCGGTTCGCCCGACGAGCGAGGTGCTCCCATCTTGGGGGCGAAAGGAAAGACTGATAACTTGGTCAAAAAGCTGAGGCGCCCAATTCGTATGGAACTCAAGTCGACAGCAGTGTTCTAAAACCCAGCGTCTGCAGGCCTTCGCCCTACAGCTACGTGTCAAATGTCGTCGGCAAATTTTGTGTAGTGGCCCTGAGTTTGGCTCTCAGGACACCACGCAAAGTATTATCATTCTTGTTGCAAGAACTCTACCACACAGCGGTCAGAGTACAAACGGCGTGCGTACATTTATATTCATAATAGCATTGTACACAAAAGGGTGTGGCGCAGGCGAATAGAAGTGGTTGATTCGCGGCGAGAGCGACATCGCGCACGAAGGAATGTAGCAGAATGGAGCGGAGGCAGCGCAGCCACTAAGTAGTACAGGAACAAAGGAAGTAACTGTAGAATCGTGCCAAAAATAACAATAATCGTATATCAATCGAGCTGGACGAAGAACGCTAGAGCTGCAATAACGATGCAACTAGCCCGCGAAAGCTGCGGGCGGCGAATCGACGAATCGATTCCACAAAACCGATCCAACTGCATGTCTCTCCACTCAAAATATCAACAAAATTTTCGGAAGCAACTTTTTTCGACAAGTTTGCATTCTATCGGAAAGATTTTACTTGGATTCATATGTTATTCACTTCATCTTTTGTAGCATATAGCTTTAACATGAAATCGAATCTGTACGTTGCACATTTTTTAGGCGTTTTTCGTTGAACCAATGCTTCCGAGGCTATATTCAATCTATAATAAAATATTATCATCAGAACTAGACTTACGCTGGGTAGTGTGAGGCAAGAGCGAGATAGCTTATCTCTCCTATACCGGATCCGAGACTCGCAAAGCAGACACCAGCCAAGGACATAGGGATATTCTGTGAGAAGGCGACCACAAAGTAACTCGTCGCCTGTAGAAGACATATAAGCACATGACGAAATCTGAAACCAAGTAATGCCAATTCAAAGGTTTGATTACTCATTCGCAAGCGATTTTTTCAGAACACGTGTAATTCTTTGATCCCATGGAGTAGATGTTCCTTTCCAGACATTTCGTCGGAAGTGTTCGCAGCGCACTCGGGGGAACTCCGATTTATCGGGAGCCAGGGGAACGGTGCGTAGTGAACCAAGAACCAAAGTGGTCGCATAAGAAAAACATTTAACAACAATCATTTTGCACAGCCAACGCTTATTCGCTTCAACCTTAGTTTCGATCATAAGAATCCTTCTACAACTCGAGAGTGTAAGATTGAAAAAACTGCCGGTCTGCGCTAGAAACAAGTGCGCTCTGCGTACTTCTTCCTTAAATGTCGACATTTGATTAATTTGAGGGCATGCATTCCCTTTTTGCAGTCTTGCTTTTCGCAGTTTCCATTCTCTTATTTCTTCCGCCTCAGTGGTTCCATAGAGAACCGGCAGCAGAATCAGCAAAACCAGGTATAACTTCGAAAATGCCTTTACAGAAATCCTATCCGCTTAATCGAGGCCACTTCCGAATTCAGAATTGCGTTTCCGACTCCTGATTTGCGGCTGGAAGATTTCCAAAGGCATGTGATGAACTATTAAACTAACAGGAAAAAATGAGGTAAAAATGTCATCTGCTAACAGATCTGCTTTTGCTGGAACACCTATCGGCACAATCGTTGCATATCCACTACACTAAGTCTTGTCTGCTTCCACCTCTATTTATCGAACCTTGCTTCTTTTGTACTAATCACTAAACCTCACAATACTTATCTCACAAGAGCCATGCCATGTTAGTGTTAGCGTTATTATTAGTGGCAGCAATGTTTATTGGTTATCTTTTATGTTTCGATGCTTACGAATGGTTAGCCAGGCGAGCTTATTTCTGACTTTTGGCAGAACTCTGAGTAACAAAGGTTTCAGGCAGTTAGTGTCGGGGAAGCAGACTCCGAGCCTCGAGGCTGAGATCAAGGTGAGAAAAGCTACAGTTCTATCGTCACACCCTCGGATGATTCAATTAAATGGTGGGCATTGTCTTCAGTGTCTTTTCCAGAGCATTGATGCGCAAACAGAACACATTCTTCAAAAGCTCGAACCTTGATTGAGAGTGAGGAGAAGTCCACTAAGGGTCACCCATCTACATATGTGGATAATGTTTTGTTTTTTTAGTACTCTGGATTTGACCTACTTCATTTGTAAGGAAGGCGCGAAATCGAGGTAAAGACAGACAGTGGGATTTGTAGGATTTCGAAATATCCGCGCCCGGGAAGATCTGCATATAAAAGGGCATGCCTCTCATCCGCTGATTCACTCTCGCCTCGAATCAGGCACGAATTACCCTAGAAAGGTTGAAATCTTAATTTTGCGCTCTTACCCTCATCCACAAGAATAGGGACAGCAACTTTTAACACCTTGGCATCCTTGGGAGTTGGGCCAACACTCATCCCTCTCGTAATATCTCATTTATTGCAGTTGTATCTTAAACTGTTGTACTGTACACTATTGCTGTTCTCATTGTGAGGATCTCGTGCCTTAGTAGCACTGTAGTCCTTAAGGTCTGTTATTTTACTGATCTGTTCGAGTTCAACCAAGGTAATTACCAAATTACCGCAGACTTGCGCATTACTCAGAGACATATGGGACACCTTCCTCTGCACTCCTTTTTTCTGACGCTAATTGAGATGTAAAAAGACTCACACGAACGGAATACGATGCATGAAAAATGGAAAGGTGAGTTTGACGAAGAGTGTAGGGAGATTGTCTGCCAAAAGTACAGCACCGGTTGAGATCGTTGTGCAATGACGGGAAGTGATTCGATCCTGCAATTTGAAAGGGTTAACAGGCTTCTCGAAAATATTGACCTTAACACCTCTATTTAGCTTTTTATCTCAACTCCGTCAAAGTGACCACACAAAGTGTTGCGAAAATGTTGGCCACAAAGTGTTGCGACAATTCGCATTTTGTTTGGATGCAGTGAAGATGAGCAATGCGCACACATATGTACACATAGTTTTCTATTAAACGTTTTATCGAACGTTGTACTTTTTCAATACGAGATTGACGGCTCCAGGAAATGAGTTGATCCCTGTGCGTGTTAAGAAGCTGAGAAGTGTGAAACCGAATTCACAATGTTTAGATTGCGGTCACACTGCCATCTTCAAGTGATTCACTTAATTGCATGCAGGAATCCCTAATGGTTTGGGGATGCGAAAGGACAGTAACTTTGGGAGGTGTACGACGCCACGAGGGTGGCAATCAAACGCTTCAAGTCATCTTACAGGTTACTTTAGATTAATAACATCTTCCGAATAGGATATGCAGAAAATTTTATAAGCAACAACAAACTTCACAGTCGCTCGTCGTTTTTGTTATGTTTTCTCCTTTTTGTATGTCCATAATATCCTCGGCAGCGCTCAGCATGATTACATACCCATAGTTGTTGCAGAGTCCGAACAGCCTGAAATATTTCCCTCAGGTAGACTCCCTTCAGTGATAATCATTCAAATATAATACATAGGAACAAATAGAGGTTGAAATGCTATCGTATCACTTTTTCGATGAATTTCCGTTGCAATCATTTATAACTCTACGTTCCACTACATCCTCGACAATTTCAATCACTACCTTATAGTGGACAGAAAAATCTAGGATTCTCACTTAACAGGTTTTCGTTTTCTAGACGAGACAACGGAATAGGTCTAGTGTAACCGATGGGACGTGCTATCAGGTGATAATGCTTCTCCAAGTTTCGGGAGGAGGACTAGACTGACCCGATTCTACCTCTCAGCTGCTCTCTGTGAGCTGTAATGTAGCGACTAATAATGAAATCAACCAAATCCCCCTGTTTCGAGGGTCTGCAAGAGAACGATAATTAAAAAGAAGATGTCTAACAAGAATTTCGTCTCAAGCTCTCTTTGAAGAGAATGACTTGTCCACTCAAGTGGTAGAGCGCAGTTAAACGCTTGATTCGTTCTGTGATGACTAGGAATGTCGCTGGGATGGTTGGCTGTTTTGGAAGGATCTTTTCACGAGAAATTCTTTAGCTGTTCTTCACGTAAAAGTTCTTCCTGTTCTCTGTTTTAGGAACCAAATTTGATAAGCCACTTGAGAAAGAATCAAACAAGTCAACGATGACGTGACGCATTCCTTAATCGGTCTGGAATGTATTACGCACTTTTCATTGATTTGCAGCTGCAGAAACGTCTGGCTGTGTACCACAATACACCCAAAAATTCAGGAAGAACTTCCGTTTTTCTTCCTAGACAAGGCTCGCCAGTCACAGCCATCAGGATTCTATCGACCGATTAAGCCAAGATGATCCTGAGTTTCCGATCCAAACCTGACTTCTCATACTTGGTCCGACTGCAAAAAGGAGGCTGCAGGAAAAGGGCGTTGATGGAACACTATGGGACTATTCCATTCTGTGAATAACGGAGTTTTATGCGATCACCTCCTCGATCAGCAAAGTACGGCCTTTGGAGAGGTTTATACAACCTATACATTTTGTTCTTAGTCATGTAGAATGGCGATTCTGGGTTGGTCATGATACACGTGCTGCACATGAATATAATCATTAGAGCTTACTCAGACAGCAGCAGCACGACGCTCTCGACCATGTGCTCTCCTCACGACGCTAGCATTATATCGTGACCGTTATTACATCTAACTTACCCTTTTGAAGTTGAATATCGAAGATTATAGATATTCTCTGGCAAATAATGGTCAAAAGTTGGAACTCCATCATAAATTTTGATGAGCACTACCCTGGAAACCCTGTCTGAAGCCAACCAGCCCGCTTCTCGACANATTAGAGCTTACTCAGACAGCAGCAGCACGACGCTCTCGACCATGTGCTCTCCTCACGACGCTAGCATTATATTGTGACCGTTATTACATCTAACTTGCCCTTTTGAAGTTGAATATCTAAGATTTTAGATATTCTCTGGCAAATAATGGTCAAAAGTTGGAACTCCATCATAAATTTTGATGAGCACTACCCTGGAAACCCTGTCTGAAACCAACCAGCCCACTTCTCGACAGTTCCAGCGCACTCCAACTTAGAAACCCATTCCTTACTTACAAAAGAAAGCTGTCATCCCCAGGCTGAGCACAGACAAGTGTTCCTTTTT